AGAGACGTTCAGAAAGAAAGAGAGCAGACACCGTCCCAGCACGACCAACCCCCTCCTCCTCTTCCTCCACCATCGTCCGCCTCGCTCGCGAATGGCGCCCTGGCTCGTCACAGATCTCTCTCTCTCTCCCCTCTCTCGCTCGCTCGCTCGCCACAGGAGCTGCTACGGACCCGCGCGCACACCGGCTGGGAGACACAATATCCATTCTTTCCCATTTCATTTTCCTCAGTTTTTATTCCGGCAAGCGATAGCCAGCTCTAGATCTAGACGTGCGTGGAAACATTTCCAAATTACCTATGAAAAAACCCCCAACAAAAATAATTTCTGAACTAAAACAAGAAAATTGAATTCGAAATTATTTAAAGAAAAAAAATAAAATTAAGACAGCATATCACATCCGACTTAAAGTGACGTTTTGGAAGCTGAAAGCAGTGCGGGATATAAACTGTAGAGACAGACAGACAGACTGACAGCAGGAAAGGAAAAGTGAATCCACGGTTTGTTTGATCTTTGCTAGTTAGTTAGGAAGGAGCGGGACACGTGCTTCGGACTGTGATTTTCCTCTGATCTGATGGATTTTTGGCGTTTGTGCGCGCGTGTGTGTGTGGGAATTCTTTGACTCTTTGTGAAGAAGTTTGTCACTGGTAACGTATTTCATAACAATAATTATGTGCCTTTTACTTTTCTTAGTTGCTACTTTTTGTGTCGTTGAGAATTGAGAATACTTTTTTTTATTCCATCTATCATTTCGCGTTTTTCGCGCCGCGGTTTTTTTTAGCACAAGTTCCTATGGGCCATATTAGATCTAGATATTCTAGATCTAGATCTAGAAATAAAAAAATTAAAATTTTTTTAAAACAAACAAACAAACAAAAACCACTGTCGAATTAAGCGCGTATCAAAAACGACAAAATTGATTAATTATGCGATTAAAAAATGAAAACGACTTAATTAACGTATTTATTTCACTTTTTTTCATTAATAGTGTGACTGGATCGGGGGAAAAAATATCAATTAATTATATTAAAAAACTGCTGTAAGATAGATATCTACATAGCGCTGAAATCTATATATCTTGATCTACCTGCAACAACACTTTTCCAATTCCCTTGAGGTTGTCTTCATTTCGTAAATGTTACGTGGCAGTTCATCAGACCATGATTCTTGCCAGCGAAAAAGAGTCTCGATCAAGATTTAGATTTTAGATCTATACACAGAGTTGAAAAAGTTGCGTTAGAAGGCCAACATCTGGGGTATAATATCTAGAAACATGTCGTTCCAAAATCATGAGGAAACAGTATCCTATCGGCTTATGTAATACAAAACATGTGGAGGCGACACACGTTTGCTTGTCTTATCAATCTCAAATAGTCACGCAATCTCAATCTGTCTGTCTATCTCTCCGTCTGTCTGTCTGTTTGTCTGTCGGTCTGTCTGTCTGTCGGTCTGTCTGTCTGTCTATTTCTCTCTCTCTCTCTCTCTCTCTCTCTCTCTCTCTCT